AAAAAAGACTCTTACTGACTAAAACCCCGTTCCTTCTCCTGCACATCGAGCCGGAGCCCCGGTTACCCGGTAGGTTCTCCGCGACAAGTACTTAGAGGTCACTTACCAAGTGTAGGTAATAGTCACAATTTTGCTAGTTACATAATTATAATGAGATAAATAATAACTTATCTCCACATAATAGGTTCATTCTTTACGTACACGGAATGATATTAAAAAAATATGACTCGGGAATCGAACCCAGATCTCATAACTACTCATAAAAATAAACCCAATAATGTTCACATGACCCAGATACCCAATCTAGGATTCCTTGTACAGTTCTCAAAATAAAAAAAAAAACTCCGCATTTCTCAACCCGAACATCGACTTAAGGTATATATTGCTCGATTATCACATTTTTCCTTAACTTCAGTATTGTAAATTTGTACCTACTAGCTTCTAAGGTCCCAAAACAAAGGTTTCTTCAATAAAACAACAACGAAAGTAAACCATAGGTTTTATTTTCTTAATTAAACATACCTTACCACTATATCAACATATTCAACATACTACACTATATATATATATTGGACTTATACGGCATTGTCATTTCTCGTGTGCTTATTAAAAAAAGTGTCTTATTCTGTACGTAATTAAGACTATTTTGTATTGTGTATAGTGAAATGAAAAAAAGAGTTAGGCTTGCGTGTGAACATTATATGTTCGCCCAAAGGAAATACTTTGATTACTAAAAAAATTACAATTTTAGCTAGATAAGTATTAAAAAAAAACAATACTTATTTTCTTTTATTTTATCAGTTATGGCACTATTGTCTTATTAATATTGGACTAAACCATAAAGAAATAGGAAAAACATTTAATAATTATGAAACTTATGAGGTATAAATATAGTATTTTTATAATAACTATCGTGAGACATACTATATATAATTAACTAAAATCGCGGGTTACTCACATCTAGTGAGCTGCGCGACGTCGCCGCGACCGCGTACGCTGCTTATGAGGAAGAATCCCTCTGTGGTTCGAAACTAGTAGAGCTTTTCTCAGTATATACACGTGAGTAAACCGCAATTTATAGTTGATTTAGTATAAATATAGTGTTGATTTTTTCAATTTCAATTTTCAATACATGGTCGTAAATATATTCGATAGGGCACATGAGTTATAGCTATTGACAGTAAAGTGCTTATCATGATTCGTAAAATCTATAAAAGCATTTTCAATTACCTACTACAACAAAATATATTTAAAAGGTTCGAAAATACGGCTCTAAATAGTTTAGTTCCTAGTAATTCGTTACTGCACGTCCATTATATTTAGATCTATTAGTATTTCTAGGTCACGAACTCTATTAAAAAAGAATAAATAGGCACTTTCATTCATTTTTTTTTTACTTTAAAAGGCACTTTCGTTCTGAAAAGTAGTTTGTTATAATATAAAATAAAATGATATGGCTTGTTCTATTCAAAATACAACACAAATACTTGACATCATGAAGATCTTTGTTGTAATACTTTTCTATCAAGGAATCGTGACCCAGAAAATCCTAAGTAAGAAGACAATATATCGATAAAAACTAGTTATTGCTACAACAGCATATCTCACTAATATGTCGATTTTAAGGCAACACATTACCAGAGGCTCCCAACCTTTTTTAACCACGGAACGTCCATTCAAAACTTTACCTTCAATATCATCATCGCACACCTTCAGTTGGGAACCTCTGCATCAGTTGACTAGAATAAAATCTCTTTTAAATTCCTAAAATAACAAGAACAGCTAACGGTCCACATTCAGCTCAAAGCCAACCAGAAACTACTTTCCCTGTGGCTTTTGACTTGCCCCTACCTCTTCCATAAGGGGACGGAGCGGGAGAGGCAGATGGTGATGGAGATGGACTAGGACTGACCCTTGCAGACCTTGGCGTGCTGGACTTCCGAGGAGTCCTCTCAGTTTCACTAGGATCAGGAGTAATCGTCACACTAGGAGGATCTGAAGTCATTTTCTTGTATTGTGACTCTAAACTTGAAGCTGATAGGATTTGCTCCGACTGGGAATGCACGCTAGGAGTAGGAGTGATGGGTTTCTGAAGGTTTGAGTCTTCCTCTTGTGTGATGTATAGGGTCTTCGTTGGAGTGTCCGGTTCTATGGTGATGATGTGGTCTGTTGATTGGAATTCTGTAGGTGGTGGTAGACGGCTGCCGTCGACTGGGTCGAAAGCTGGTGTACTCGGCTCTGACGGCTCTTGTGATGAAGATTTTAGAGGACGTGTCTGTTCTGATCCTCCTTCGGAAGCTAAAAGAAAATCAGAGATTTTGGTTAGTTTGATTCTACCGGTGACTTTGTGAATAGATAGTCTTATCAGTTTCCAAGGTTATAATAATAACGAAAAAATTAAAATCGGTTCATAGGTTTTGCCATTAGATTATGTAAATTGTATTTCAATAAGAAATAATGGGTATATGACAAATATTACTGCTGGTCTACATAAAATATCTATAAACATTCAGTTTTTAAATCAAGGTCAGGTCAAGAGACAGGTAAACAGATAATAGATTAGTGTAGCGCATAATTTTAACTATCCACTTATTACTTTTCGTTAGAAGCAAAGTTAAGTTAAGCAGTGAGGAGGTGGGTATAGGCAAACAAATACAACATCTAATTTCCCGAAGTCATCGACATTTCGTCAGTCACTTTAAATTTAGCCCCCATGAATAAATGAGCAAGACAATTCTAATTGAAAAGGCCAACAGAGAACGACTAAGGAAAGACATTGAGGAATCGCATTGCATAATTTGTCCATAATAATTAATTCATTGTTAATTAAGTGAGAAGTATTTCATTTATTATTTATTTGCAAGTTAACTTCAGATGGTATACAGTTTGCAGGGCATTCCCATGATTAAAATTATTCATGAAGCTTTTGAGTTATAAATTGTGACTTTTGGTTCTGTTTCCTGCAGCTAGCCAAATGCCATTTAGCGCTTGTCTACTAGTAGAGTAGAAAACCAAATTATATATAAATTTTGACACTTGTCAGTGCCATCTCCATATGTTTTGATTTCTATTCTCTCTGTAGACAAGCGCTAAAGTGGCGTTTGGCTAAAGACCATGGGTCCAGTTGTAGCTAGAACATCAGTGTATTTCAAAATTATTCAAGGTGTTTATTATTTTAAAATTATACAACATGTGATAGGTATCACCCTTAGCGAGTCGTAGAGATCCGTGCATATGGCGCGTCGCGTTCCGCGCGCGCCTCAAAGTACCATCAGACCACCACAGATGGGGACCAGTAGGACTGATGCCCAATACGGAGCCGCGGAAGGCCTAACGGGCTGCCGGGGCTCCGGCTCGAAGAGCAGGAGTAGGAACGGGGCAGTTATTAGTCAGTAAGAGTCTGACACTCCCTCTCGCCTAACCTAAGGCGGAGAAGTCTTTCAAAAAAAAAAATAAACAAAAAAAAAGCGGGTCGTAGAGAGTTAAATAAAAAAAAAAACAATACTCTTCCTTCAGTCGGGTAACAAGTAAAGAGTTGTCGATAATAAGAGGTTATCGTTCCGTATAAAATACAAACTTTCAGGGAAAACTGATTAGGGTTTAGTAATCCAACCCAGTTCGGAAAAGGTTTGAAGAAAAAATATAACTTTTGGTAGCAACTTTTCCTAGTTTCATACAAAATCTACTGAGCGGATCTGATATTTGGCACAGAGTAAGATTATAATATTCTGTAATATGGGTAACGAACTGTTTTGTTTAACTTCGTATCCGTTTTTGGCACGTGTCTGCATATACTGCACTTAATACTGACAGACTCAGACTGCCTCATTGGCCGAGTGGTCGCAAGTGGGACTGCTGATCTCGGGATCGATTCTCGGGGTCAGCCCTGTATGGATGGACTGGATTTATAAAATTCAGTAGTAGCACGGAGTCTGATATTGTGCCCGGTACATATAACATGGGTCTCATAATATAGTTAAATAGTGAAAAGTGGGTGTTACATTGTACAGTGGCATAAAATGCCGTAATGTGCAGAGCCTCTGCCAACATGAAAGGCGTGATGTTATGCGTCAAAACAATTTGTCTAATTAGATGTTGAAAGAGGCTTAGAAGGTTTAAGCGGACACAGTAACTTAACTTCACAAACAAAAACATTATTTTGTTAGTAAAACAACAGAGTGTTATTGTTTCAAAATATTCTAAGTTTTACCTAAAATCTTAGCTTAGCAGCTGTACTACGTGTTCAGTTCTTGTAGCGTGTTTAAATTTTCAGGCTGTAAGTAAGTTTTCAGTAGGTAAACATCTTTTTTTTTAATAGTGTGGGTTAGTTAATCCTTTTTTTTAATAGTGTGGAAGAGCCATGCTTCGGCACGAATGGGCTGGCTCAAGCGAAGTTATACCACGGCTTCACGAAAACCGGCGTAAAACAACGCTGGCGTTGTGTGTGTGAGGTTACGGGAGGTCCAAATGATTCCTTCCCCCATCTCCCCAATCCCTCAAAAGCCGGTATTGCACTCGTTACTCCTCTAGTGTTCCAGGTGTCCATGGGCGACGCCGATTGCTTACCGCCAGGTGATCCATCTGCTCGTTTACCGACTTATACTAATTAAAAAAATTAAGCCATTTAAAAATGTGATTCCACATTAGGAGTTTCTAGGGAGCGTTTACAAACGTACATACTCATCTATACTAATATTATAAAGAGGAAAACTTTGTTTGTTTGTTTGTTTGTTTGTTTGGTTGTAATGAATAGGCTCAAAAACTACTGGACCGATTTCAAAAATTCTTTCACTATTCGAAAGCTACATTATCCACGAGTAACATAGACTAAATTTTATTTTGGAAATAAATAGGGTTCCGTAATATATTTGGGTTTTTCGGACACAAGGTGTAAAAAATCAACCAGAAAAGTTACTTATTTTGCGTACGCTGCCTAAACTATAAAAGATAGAACTATGAAATGTTCTAATTAGTTGTAGATCTTATAAATATCTACAAAAAACTCCGCGACACACTATACCTATCTATGTCGAGTGAGGCACAACAACCATTTTTTAAATCAAAAATCTTGAATTTTTTTGGACTACTTTTAAACGCATTTATTTTACTCATTCTATTAATCCTTATCAAAATAATTTATTTCATCATTAAGTACAGTTAATGTAGATGATATTTGGTCTTTGAATGATTAAAATTGGATGTTTAGTTTCGAAGTTATGGCGAAATTAAAATATCACGATTTCTGCTGCACGGCCCGTTGCGAAGTGAGCGTCACCAAGGCGGGGGTGCGCGTGCGGGAGGGGAGTTTAGATCTATGAGTATGGCTCC